AACAATCAGACCTGATTTCAAATGTGGACTCTGCCAATTACTGTCTGTGCGGCCCTGGCCACCTTCCCTATCCTCTTTAGACTTCAGCCCCCAATATTACTAATGTCACTATTCCAGTTTGGCTAATTTCACTATTTTGCTTAAATTGATGAGAGCAGACAGTAAATGCTCAGTAATTTTCTACTGGGGAGGAGGATACAATGTCAGGTCTGGTCATACCATGCACGTTCCCTTCCTCTATATTTTTACCCAAAGTTTGATGAAGGCATGAGGCTGCCCAGAGTGGAGGTGGAAAAGATGGGGGACAGTCTTCTCTATTGTCTGGGTGGCTGGTAGAGGGAGAGTCAAAGGTTGAGTGTTTACCGGCACCCCATGCTCCCATGCCTGTGCTGGGTAAGGGTGTCAGCCAAGCAGGAGTCACCCTTACTCTTGAACTCACCCCATCTGTATGAACTGTGTCTCTCCTTTCCCTCCATCCTTCTTGCCTTTCTCCAGTAAAGACTCTGGGCTCTGTGTGGAGTCTTGGATGCCTGACTTGGGATAGGGACATAAGAAATACTGTGAAGCTGATAACTGAACACTCAGCAATAGCAAACTTTTGAGGGCACCTTTCTACTGGCATGTGTGTTCCCAGCACTTCATTCTATTATCACAACCACAAGAGAGAAGTATCTAGGATCACATGCTCAGTGAGGGATGTTGGATTTGAAGTTAGTCTGATGCCAGGCCCCATCTACCATGAGTCTAACATTTTACTATGTGCTTTCCCTTAAACCATTCTAATCCTCACTACATACTGAGCTAAGTACTCCCTTTCTACCGTTAAGAAAACAGAGTTAGAGACTTCCTAAGGTCAGTTGGTAGCTGTGGAGCCAGGGATCTGAAGCCCATATACTTCCTCCATTCCACTCTGCCATAGCACCCCCAATTCAGCAGAGCTTAAACGGAGATGCTAAAGGGAAGGCAAAAACCAACCTTCATCAGTACCTGGTGTGTGGGTGACACTACCATAGGGCATCTTGTTTAATCCTCATAACCACTCCACCAAGTGGGTATAGTGAGCTACATGAAAAAGAAAACAGACTCAGAATATTAAATTGACTTGCCCAAGATCATATCACTAGTAGGCAATAAAGAGGATTTGCATCGGCTGCTGGCTCTTAAGAATTCATTATTCCTATTGGGATGTACTATCTACAAAAGTATCTTTTGGCTTTGCAGTTTTATTTTTCTCTGCGCACAATACCCATCTTTGAGCTCAACATCCATTTTCTTCCCAGTCCATGCTGCAAGAGACTAGACCCCAGGGCATTCTTGTGCTCTGCTCTTCAGTTTGGACTAGATGAACAGGAAGCTGCTGCAGGAGATCAGAGACCAAGGACCACATGTAGGAAGTTAGGGTATCTGCTCCATTCTTTCCTTCTCTGCTTGGATTCTGTGACTACAGCTCCTTCTAAGCAGTCTCTCTCTCTCTCTCTCTCTCTCTCTCTCTCTCTCTCTCTCT